TTTGCTGCCGTCATTCGAAAAGTACCCAACTCGATTCGTAGTTGAAATATGAATTTTCAAAGATAAACCTGCCGAATCGCCCGTTGGAAATGAACCAGTTTCAAAAAATTCCCCAAAATTTCCTGAAGACTGAGCAAACGTGAAACTTTCACGATTTATAAACTATATCTTCCCCTATCTAATGCGAGCTATCAAAAGGAGTCTACTCGATTGGAAGCCAAAATATAAATTTTCAAAACACCTCTTGAAAAAGCGCCGTTGGAAATTAACTGATTTGGAAAAATCCCCTAAAAATCTTTGACGACGGCGACAAATTGAAACTTTCTTCTTCTGTATAAACAACTTTTTTCAATTTGATGCCGCCTTTCGAAAAGTACCCAAGTCGATTCGTAGTTGAAATATGAATTTTCAAAGATAAACCTGCCGAATCGCCCGTTGGAAATGCACCAGTTTCAAAAAATTCCCCAACATTTCCTGAAGACTGAGCAAATGTAAAACTTTCACGATTTATAAACTATATCTTCCCCAATCTAATGCGACGTATCAAAATGAGTCAACTCGAGTGAAAGCCAAAATATGAATTTTCAAAACACCTCTTGAAAAAGCGCCGTTGGAAATGAACTGATTTCAAAAAATCCACTAAAAATCTTTGACGACGGCGGCAAATTGAAACTTTCTTCTTCTGTATAAACAACTTTCTTCAATTTGATGCCGCCTTTCGAAAAGTACCCAAGTCGATTCGTAGTGGAAATATGAATTTTCAAACATAAACCTGCCGAATCGCCCGTTGTACACAAAATGGTTTCAAAAAATTCCCCAAAAACTGCTGACCACAGTGGCAAATCGAAACTTTGACGATTCAGAAAAGCGATTCGATTTTTAGCGTTATTTTATTTAGCTGCTGGAAAACTTGAGAAATCATCCGGCCACAGCGCTGCTTTCCAAGAATTACCCAGTGGTCGTTGGGAACGATGATCCTTCCACATGGAACGCCTCAGGCCTGAGCTATGATTGGTAGAAATATTTCCAATAAAACGATCTAATCTTTAAATTTCGTTTCTTCATTTCAGGTATTACGTCTTGATGGCAATGACGCCGGAAGATCAAGGTTTAAGGGTTTTGAAGAAACTGGCCCTTAACTCGATCGAGTACAGCGCCATGGGCGAGAAGGAGAAAACCCGTGCTTTCAACGTGTGGAATGAACAGTGGAGTCGATTTATCAATAACTTCGCTAACAGCGTAAAGTAGACCAATAGGAAATGTTTATTTTGCACAGATAGTGATAGGAAAAAGGGCAAAAATCGGCCAATTTTCATCTGCAATTTAAGGCAGAAATCTGGCAAGTGAGCTGTATTTTTTAACTAAATTTTGTCTTAGTTTATTGAAATAAAAAATCCACTGATCAAGGAAGTGTTTTATGAATCTTTCACTAGAGGAGACACAAACCCAATTAGTACAAAAAAAAATCTACTTGAACTTTCACCAAAGCATCCTTCGCTACGTTCAACACAAAAGCTCTGAATGATCCGCAGCAGAAACATGTTTTAGTAGAGATCGAGAACAGATAAAATAGTAAGAATCTTTATTTATTGGGCGGAAAAAGTGTCCAAATTAATTTTTCGATGATTCTTAAGGTTGATGACTATCGAGTATTGTTATCGTCTGATGTTGATTCCACTCTTTATTAGTGAATAACTGGAAATAGCCCTGTGATCCGAACTAATCGTCGCCATCCAAATGAAGGTGATTTGGATGTGAAACATCGATCGGCAATTAATCCAGCATGAATCTATTGAAATTAATTGGGGAAAAAGCATGCTAATCTGTGAATCGGCTTAAGGTGCGCACCTAAATTCCGGCAAATTTGCAGGCACATTTAACTTGAGAGAACTGGGAAAAAATGGGGAAGTTTTGGAAAATGTTCACGCAAACAGCCGGAGTAAAGGCCCGTCATTTCAAGGGACTCCAGCGCGAAAATCGGCGCCAGTAGCAAAAAAACCTACACCCTTAACTGGATATCAAACATCGATTAAGCATTTTTTAATCCCTTAATCCCCCATAATGGATGTTTACGCAAATGGCAAAACCATGTTATTTATTGATTTGCACTGTGAAATATTTCATATTTTGGTTGTGCAATGCAAATATTCCCAAGCAGCATTTAACCCCTTACGTTGGTCAGTTGGTGTTGGTGCAGTTCGTCTAATCCAAACATGGGCCAATCCGCAGTTACCCTAATACTGGTTTTTGCCTTGATTACGTGTCTGAAACAAGTCGCAGCAGGTGATGGAAAAACCATCTCCGCCAATGAGCTAAAGACGATCTTGGCCGCAATTCCCGAAGCAGGTAAAACCGAGCTTTTCCACCGAGTGTTTAATGGGGAATGTTACAAACTTGCAAATTCCAGAACGCGATGGCTTCATCAGAAGCAACATAGAGCTTGGCTATAAAATAGAGCAACGGAAGCAGCCTTGGGTGAGCAGGTTTTTGCGCAAAAAATCCACCTGAAATGCCACAAAACTTTCGAATTGCAGGAAGATGAAAAATCGGGCAAATTAGCCGTGCAGATTTTCCGCTATTTTCTGGATATCAAGCGCAACAGCAAGGCGGTTTTCAAGTCTTTGAAGGCTGCTGATGTTATCTGCTATCCAGACCCGATTGGCTGTATTGATAGTGACGATTCCGGAATCAGGCCTATTTGAACCTGTGATGCTCAAGTGCGCAAAAAACTTTACTGAACAGTTAGTGTTATGAAAGAATTTTTGCTCTCCAAGCATTAAAAGCCGGTTTTTGTTCGCATTGGACGAACGGAACGAATTAAAATGAATATAATACTATTAAAATTAATAGTTGTTCCTTAGCAAATTAGCAAGCATTACCACATTTAAAATATTACCAACTTCATTCGTTCCTTTCGTCCGATGCCAAGGAAAATGCGCGCTAACTTTCAGGCTTCTCAATGTGTTCGCATTTAAGCGACTTTCCAGCTTCTTTACGTTTTGCGTGCTTCCATATAGGATTCGGAAATTTATTTTAACTCATACATTCTCAAAAATTGGCCGGATTATACAAAACAAGGCGAAGATTCATTGGGATGCGGTCCGTTCGTTCCACGCAAACAAGTACATTTTCAGCTTCCTTAGCCGTAAAATGATTAAATCGAGGGCAAAAGTTCTTTTTCCAGACTAATATATAATACACAGACAAACACACATTAGAATCTTTAACGGTTGGTGTTTGCCAATATTGGCGCCGATTATCGATTTGCGTCAGTAAAAAATAAGCGCCGCTAACTGATTAAATATTTTCCAGTTTAACTAACTTTAAACTAGTAGATAAGTTCTATATTGTTGAGGCGGATTTATTTTTTTACCAACTGCTTGTTGGGTATTTCGCCTCAAAAATGTTTCTCTTTAAAAAAGACAGAATTTCCTCACGTCTTTTATTACAGATTGATAAACAGTGCTCTTGCACTATTTATCAATCTGTAATAAAAGACGTGAGGAAATTCTGTCTTTTTTAAAGACAAA